CCTCTTAAAAAAAAAAATTTTTTTTTAAAGTTTCCTGAAGAAAATTCTTGGTCTTTATGACCACTGTGATTTACTAGGTTGTGAAAGTGATCATGTGTTTTTCTATGCAAAAATGTGTCATGACTTTCCTGAATACCCAATATATTTATCAACTATACACTTTGATTTAACCGTGTGGGCTTTGGCAAATTTCTTAATCTCTCTAAATATCTGTTTTTTCATCTGTAAATTGGGAAAAATAGCATTTTCCTTGCAGAACTGTAGTAAAGATTAGAAGTAAAAATGTGTAAGCCAGAGTGTGTAGCACACAGAAGAACTCAATAAATGGCAGATACCATGAGTCTCCCTCAAAGACATAGACTGCTAGCTTCTAGAAGGCAGGAACCCCCGCATGCTTTCTTCTGCCTTATACACCCACATTTAACGCAGTGTTTAACATCCAGTGTAAGTCAACAAACAGCTGTCAAATATTATTACAGTGAGGAGTTTGAATAAAACCTAAATCAAATTAGCTAAACCTAATTCATTAAATGACTTTTTAATGCTATCGTTGTCTTTTAAAAAATATCAACCTAAGTTAAAGCAACCTTCCCTGCTAGTACTAAACACACACACACACACAGAAATCAGTCTCAAAGGGCAAGCAAAAGTTGCTTATTCAACAAGGAATCTAGACATTTCAATAGTTTGCCTAAAAAGAAGTACCAGAGTTTAGACACATTTTCCTTAATGAAATTTTCTTGGTGAAATTTCTCTGAAATCATTTAATTTTATAACCAGCTGTCAATGAAATCGCTAAAGATCATAGTAAATTGTTCGATTTAATTCACATTATGCTGAAATACAATATACAACATCAACTTCTAAAGCTAAGAAAGCAACTTAATCAAAATCAGTGGGACTGTTCTTCACATTTATTGTAGTGATAGTTTTGAGCAAGTTTCTTTACCTTCTCATCTACTTTAAAATAAAGTCCCAAATATAATGGGGTCCTTTCACAACTCAACACATCTACCGCACAAACACATGGTAGCACATGCCCCAAATAGCATGACGCTTTCCTTGACATCAGCCCACACCCGCACACTCTCATGTGTCTAGTGGAATCTTAGCACAATACATCAGAAAATGCATTGGTAATGATCTTTTGATGAAAAAGCATGGGAGGTGATAGTTTCCGTTATTCGCTTTTTCAACAGAAAGCATCCCTCACTACTTGAGGGGCAAGTCAAATATTCAACAATATCCAAGACTACCAGATCCCTTGTTCAGTTAAAAAAAAAAAATCTGTTAACTATTTTAAGTAATAAGACACTGGAAGCTAAGGAAGATAATTTTGAGACAATGTTTGTTATTTTGAGGACATTGAAAGTTTGATGGTAAGCTACCAAACCCTAGGAAACACTAATATATAAACATACATTCCTATGTAAATATATAATATTAATATATACAATATGCCTCAGAGCTAGGAAATGTATCACCTCACTCCGGTCACTGCTTTTACAGAATACAGCATGGGCTCTGAAATGACTGTGCCCCAAATGGCACGGCTGCTGGGGTAACTCTTATGCCCTGGTTTTCTACCAACACCGAGAGCTATCAATAGTTCCTGCCTGCCAACCTTTCTGTCTCTTTCTCTGTGAAAAGATAACAGTTATTGAATGAGATAGACAAGGGACACCCCGATTTTTTAAAAGGGTGAATCGTTATGTCAAGCAGTGCAACCACTGAGAATCAGAAGGCCTCTGTAGTCTCTGGGAGTGAAGAAGTAATAGTTAGGGTATTAGTGCTGGAGCCAGACAGCTCAGATGGCACTCCAGTTCCCCCCTCCTGCCAGATGACTCAACATACTTACGCTCTCTGTGCCTCAATTTCCTCACTTAAAAAAAAAAAGAGATAACGAAGTCAGATGTCATGGTGATTGAGGCAGCTGGATCCCATATAACCAGCTATGCAGTTTGAGTCCCAGACCCAGCAGCTTGAAAAACATGCTGGGCACGTGTGCATGCATGCTCAAAAACCCAGGAGGAGAATGGAGAAGGGATTGCAGCATGGCAGTCCCCCGGAGGGGAGGGGTGCTTTCTCATTTTCCTTCTCTCTATTTCTCTCTCTGTCTCTGTACAGGCCCTATAGCAAAACGAAACTAAACGAAACAAAAAAAGAGAGAGAGATGACAGTAATAGTACCCACCTCAAAGGACTTTTCAGAGGATTAAATAAGTACATCATCTAGGATGATTCCAGCATATAGAAAGTATGCATCAGATATTTAATATTTTTAAATGTTATTATTTAGGAGCAAACTCTGAGATTTAGAGAGCTCTGCATTCTGTCCCAATGATAAATACATAGACAGAAGGCTGAAGGTACTGGGCATGCCGTCCCCACACTCGCTCCTCTTTAGCAAATTAGCATACATCACCCCTCTGCCATTGCCTTTTATTGGTCCAGGCTGGCTGGAAAATGGGAAACCAATGACCATCATTTCAAATACAGAGGAAGAAGCTGACTTGAAGTAATTAAAAATGTGCATTATCAGGACCAGCAGGTGGCGTGGTGGATAAGGCTGTGGATCCCCACATGGCTGACTACAGTTGAAGTCCTGGACCTGGTGGCTTGCTTTCTCACTTTCTTTCTCTCTCTCTGGTGAGTGTACCTGCCCTATAATAAAATTTAATAATAATAATAATAATAATAATAATAAATAAAAGAAAAAATTATTTTTAAAATGTGCATAATGGGGCTGGCAGGTGGCATGTTGAACTAAAATAAATAGAATAATTCAAAAATAAATTAATAAAATTAAAATGTACATTATATATCCTGGGTCAATGACTGGGGAGGTAATCCACAATTATATCATCAGTGGATGGTCTACAAAGATTCCAAGGCAATTCAATAGACACAAAATCATTTTTTCAAACAGTACTGGAACAACCAGATATCATGATGAGGAAAAAAAAAAAAAAAGACCAACGGTTACCTCATATCATATATAAAAACTACCTCAAAATGGATCAGAAATCTATAGGAATGAGGTACTATCAAATGCCTAGAAAAACAAAAACAAAAACAAAACAAGAGAAAATCATCCTGAAA